CACACAGTCAAAAGCCTTTGGAAACCCACTAGAAGGTCAATTATGTCAGTTTTGGCTTGGCAGCAATCAGAGGTTCAATGTGACCATTGAAGGGGGAAAGGAGGGTTCCACTTGGGAGGTGGTGATGCTGAATGTGAATTTTGAGAGATCGGGCTTGTCAGGTGGAAGGAAGGACATTCATTCTGTTTACATGTTTGTATGTGTAAGTTGTGGTTGTGTACTGTAGAGTTGGAACGAATTCATAGCTGTGTTTTCAGAGCCAGTTAACCACACTAGAGGAGACTGCCCATCCTTCACCTGTGGAGCAGCTGGTGGCCTTGAACCACATACTTTTTGACTTGCAGTGCAGTGCCTTGCCACTAGGCCATCAGAGCTCCTTATGTATGTGTACCTAAAAAATTATTCACAAGTGAGATGTCACTGCTAATCAGTGGAATTCATTCCACAGGCCATGCACAAAAAAGAAACTCCATTGCTTCAAACTAGTGCACTAATTGGATAGAGTCCTGCTTGTACTTGCCTAATAGAAGCTGTTCATTCATCAGTTTATACAAAATCTAGTTGAGAATTATCCTTTGGGGGTGAGTGAGAAATATTAAGAATCTCTATACATTCTTAATATTCTCAATAGTTAATCTTAAGGAAGCTCTGGTGACCTAGTGGTAAGAAACTGTGCTGCAATCCCAAAGGCATACGGCTTGAATCCACCAGCTGCTCCACTGGAAGGTCAGCTATGGGTTGGTTTCAACTCAACGGTACACAGCAACAACAACAACATATATTCTATGTTTATGGGGTTGCTATGAGTTGTAGTCAACTCGATGGCACCCTAACAAGATTGTTGTTGTGTACAGTCGATTTGGGACCTACCCATAGCTGACCCTCCAGTGAGTTTTCCGAGGCTGTTAATCGCCCAGGAGAAGACTGTCTATCCTTCTACAATAATCAATACTGATAACATTCACTTCCCCTTGTGGAGAGCAGGAGCTCTGGTAGTATAGTCCATGGTGTATTGTGCTGCAAAGAAGCCACCCATCTCTGGCAGTTAGAATTCAGCAGCCTTCTGTGGGAGAAAGACAGTCTCCTCTCACTTAGATTTACAACCTTGGAGACCTAATGGAGGGGTGCTTTGAGCCAGAATCAACTCCACAGCAGTGAGAGAGTATGGAAGTCAAGGGTGTACTTGTCCTTGCAAAGAGATAACATTAGGAGAAATTAAAGGGAGCTCAGTTCATGATTAAAGTGCATTGACAGATGTAATCACATGATCCTGGTGAGTAATTTGCTGGTAGAGATGCACTTTTTGTCTTCATTAGCTCTCACAAACCCAAAACCTAAACTGTTGCCATTGAGTTGATTTAGATGCATAGTAACCACAGATGCTGTGCAGCTGAACTTCTTTATAGGGTTTTCAGTAGCTGTGATCTTAACAGAAGCAGGTGTCCAGGCTTTTCTTCTGCAGTGCAGCTCAGCGGGTTTTAGGTTGGTGGTTGAACACAAACTATGCCGCCAAAGATCTCTGTTGCTTACAACAAGCCTAATGCATAGGGAAGGGAGCTCTGGCGGCCTAGTGTGAAGAAGCTGCGCTGCAATCCCTAAAGCACACTGTTCGAGGCCACTGGCTGCTCTGCGGGAGAAAGATGGGCAGTCTCCTCCAGTGCAATTAATTGCTTCTGAAAACCTGCCAGAGGGTCATTTATGAGTTGGTTCCGAGTCTACAGTACACAACAACAACAATGCGTAGGGATCTCTGGCAGCCTAGTGGTAAGAAGCCTCGCTGCAATTTCAAAGGCACCACAGAAGGATGGGCAATCTCCTCCCATGCAATTTGTTGTCTCTGAAAAACCTCTGGAGGGTCAGCTATGGGTCAGTTTTGAGTTGATGGCACACAACAACAACACCGCATAGGGAGCTCTGGTGGCCTAGTGGTAAGAAGCTGCACTGCAATCCCAAAGGCACGTACCCACTGGAGGGTTAGCTATGAATCGGTTCCTACTTAAAAGCACACGAAAACAATGCATACATAGGTAGAATGGCCAGCCTTCCATCTGATCTGATGGGATGAGAGGAAATTGTGTACTTTTGTCATCTGCAGTCCATGAAGCCTTCTAGCATATCCTTTTGACTCTACTTACTGTAACTGATGGCCACAGAGAATGTGGTCAAAATACAACTTTAGATGAGCTGGTTATAGGCAGTTTTCCTACATTATGAGGTCCCTGTGCTCTTGATCTGGTTTCCAATAGAACCAAGCTTGCAGTCCTTGTGGAGATTCAAACCTCATCTATCAATTTAGACCTGTCTCACCTCCAAAGCCAAAGATGGAGTGCAAAGCCCAGTCAGATTCCTTGCAGTGGTGCTAGAGGGGTGTGTCTTCTTGTTAGACCAGCACCCTTATATCTGGTTCCTGGAGGAGACAACATAGAACCATCCTGAGTGCCTTTGCATTCCTGAGCACAAGCTTTCTAGGCAGTACTCTTTGAAATGAAAAGTCAGTCCAGTTTCATAGGTCTGGGCTAAGCCAAGTGCCATCTTACTTTTAGTGTCTTTTTGGACTGTGGGCCACTAAATGATTTTACTTGGGGCAAGGCCCTTTAGCCCCAGCTCCAACCCACTGAGTCCCCCACGTATCCCTGCTTTTACTTACAGAGAGGTGATGAAAATGACATCCGATCCATCAGTTACTACCCTGAGTCGGCTTCTTTTGATCTCCGCTACTACCCTTACTACGGCAAACTGACGCACGTAAGCCTGTATCCCCCTCAATCATCATGTAAGCTTGTGTCCCTTCAGTCCCTGTGGTCAGAAAGAGCTCAGAGACAAACCAAAGGCCCAGGGATCTATAGGAATTAGGAAGAAGCAAAGAGTAACATAGGGGTGGATGGCTTCTATTCATGACCAGCAACTCCCTCCACCACTTCCTACTACTACCACTTCTTCGCAGATCTGGAAGAGTTCTCAGACATAGTTTGATCTAAGCCTTCAATTTACCAATGGGGAAGTCAAGGATCAAAGACAGGAAGTGACTCGCCCAAGGCTACCTAGTTAATTAGGGACTGAGTTTGGAATAGACAAATCACTACCTTTGTGCTCAATGATAACCAAATACTCAGATTTCCACATTTCTCTTATTTGAAGCCTTGGGTCTGTCAAGGATTCACCTCCATCCAAGAGAGCTAAGCAATACTAGTTCTGGTTCGATACATGGTCTGATAGACAGAAAAGCAGATCATGCTGAGCTAGAATTGGTTTCCCTGCAGTGACTTAAGACGTGGACTCCACAAGGCAAAGAGAGCCTCTCAGTCGTGTTGCCATTTATGACTTGGCATCGTGGGTAGTTTATGCAGTTCCATTTCTGGAGGTTATCCTATTCTGCTCTGAATATCCAGATGCATCCATCCAGCCTTCTCCTGCCCTTTGGGTCTTCCTTGTCCTCCTCACACTTAGACTCCATTGTTCTTCCGCCTACAGGTTAACTACACCTCCCCCCTGGTGGCAATGCACTTTACAGATGTGGTGAAGAACCAAGTGGTGCCTGTGCAGTGCCAGCTGAAAGGCAAAGGCATCATAAATGATGTCATCAATGACCGTTTTGTGGGTAGGGTGATCTTTACCTTGAACATAGAAACCTAAGGACTTCAGGGGGCCACTTCTACCAGTTCTGTTTCTGTTTAATTTTACGTTATCCCTAGTAGCATCTGAATCCTTTTTATTCCACCAGAATACAGACAGATGGACCCCTAAGACAGGAGATCATTGTTCCTTATCTTTTGACATGTGTGCAAACTGACCTTGTGGAAGTTGTTTGGGTTTTGTTTCTTTATTTTGGAAGATAGTCTCTTCTGATGACAAATAGATTACATTCATTTCCTTTCCCTCCACTCAATACAAAATTCCATTCTTACTGCTAGACTTCTCACTGTAGCACAAACATAACCATATACATCCCAAGCCCACTGCCATGAATCAATTGCAACTCACAGTTGCCCTCCGCTGTGTTTCCAAGGCTCTAAATCTTCATGGGAGCAGACCTCCCATCTTCTTCTCACAGAGCACCTGGTGGACTCGAACAGCTCACTTTTAGGTTAGCAGCCCACATACACAACTAGTTACATCACCAGGGTTCCTTCGTGTAATCATAAGCACTGAAAAAATTCCCAATAGTCTTGGACTTGAATGTCTATGGTAACATAAATCCATCATGTTTCAGAAAATGGGTTGTTTTTAGAAGTGAGATTAGTCCCAAGTTGTTAATCTAGTTAGTTTTTAGCTGCCTGGCAAGGCCCAATCAAACTACCTCAGAATATACCCAGAGGTCATCATATCAAGGAAACTCTATGCACATAGGTGCTCCAGAAACTCACTGTCTAACTCCAAAGACTAAAATCCCACAGACAAGTATTTATTGATTCAAAGTTCTCTTTAACTGGGCCAGAAAGCAATGGTAGCTGGATACAGCTCTGGGACAGAAACGATGACATTCTCTGTGGCTTTTTTTTTGTGCAGTTAGTCCCACTGCTATTGAGGAAAACACCTATCATATGGATGCAATTACTATTGGATCCTTTGCTTTAGAATGTAACCATCCAAAGACAAAAACATTCCTGTAAACAGATTTGTTTCTGCTTCAGGAAGAGGTGAAAACAAGGATGAAGATCTCCATCAACTAATTCTTCTTGGACTATTTGATTCTTTCAGATCATCAGGGACAGATGTGTTGACTCCCAGCTATTTTTGAAGGTTAAAACCAAAGTCTGCCAAGTAACACATGACAAGGCAGAAGGCTTTTGCCAGAGTATCTACACTCAAAGCTGATTAGTCAGTTTCACATTTTCTTTAAGAATGATTTAACACAGATGTTTAGCTAGGTTGTAGATCAACCAGCTAGCCTGTTTTGGCTTTTCTTAGGCTATGCCACCTTGTCACTGCTTTTTACCACCTCCACCAGAGGGAGGGCTGGGACAAAGAGAGAAGGCAAGAGTCATAATAATTTAAATGTCATCCAGACGCAACTAGACCCTGAATACCCTCTACAATGTTTCTGTCGTCCCCAAACTGGTGGTCTAGTGGTAGAGACAAATGAGTGAAGAAGTAACTAAAATACGGTGTGGCAAGAGTCAGAGACCGAGTACAATGACACCTAAGAGAACTGGAACTCAATGAGGCTGCCTTGCTTGTCCACGTCTTCCAAGTTTTCTACCATCAACAGGGTACCATTTCATCACTTTTCTATCACATGGCTTTTTAGTGGGAAATATTTGCCAAAAAGGCTAGCAGCCTTATACAGGTTCTGCCTTTTGAAGGGTCTGCTGTCCATGGAGGTGCTCTGAGAACATGAGGGGGGAAAGTGACTAACCCCAGCTGAGAAAGTAAAAGGGGGATTCTCACAGGCAGAGTCACAATTATTAAAGCCCATGCTGTACATACAAAAAATTCACATACCTGGTATGTGAGGGCTCAAAGGAATGGCAGGGATGGGGTTGGAGAGGTAGGCAGGGATGCAAGAAGACTTTGAAGTCTCTACAGTAGCTGAAAAGGAATCAGTAAAGCATCACAAGCAGAGAAGCACTGTGATCATACTTGGACTTACAAAAGGGCACTTGACAGCCACAATGTGAAGGGTGGCTTGGAGAGGAGCGAGACTGAGGGATGGGGAATAAAGGAGGAGGAGTTGGCAAGAGTGACTCCGAGTTTCAAACTTGGCTCCAACAAGTTGGGTGATGAGACTGACTGCTTCTCAAGACTAAGAAGACAAGAGAGAAGCAGGTTTGGAAAAGAAGATAGATGTCAAGATCAACTTTGGACATTTCACCTTGTGGTTCCTACTGGACAGACATTGACATGGAGATGTAAATCTACTGGTGGTTAGGAGAAGGAAAGCTGAGAGGTAAAGCTACACTGGCTTAAGCGAATTCTTTTAAGAAATTCTAAGCTGCTTAATGTTGGGAATGATAGGCAGATATAGAAATACCACACCAATCCAGTGCCCCAGCATTTTCCCCTTGGTTTTAGAGCAGAAAGGAGTGCTATTGTTATGTAGAATCCTTCCCAGATGCTATTCAACTGTTACTCAGAGTAAAGGGAGCAGATGGGGCTAGCCTCTGTAAACAAGTGGTAGAAGGTACACTATAGCTGGTCTGTGGAAAACACCTCCCCCACCCCACACATAAATGAAACTTAAAAAGGTCAAATTGTTTTAAAGACAATAACAACCTCAAGTTCATTTCAGAATCATTGGAACACTCAAACCCTCAGAATTCAGTAGTAAAAGATAATGAAACATTAGATCTGGAAAGGATTTAGAGAGTGTTTAGTGACAACCTGCATTGCATCTGACTCCAGGTCCAGTGCTCTTTCTATTCTGAGCTGCTGCTTGCCAGGAAGTACTATCTTTTCTTTTTATAAAAAAAAATTGATAATAAATACCCCCAAGCGTTTTGCAACATGTCAAATTTGAATTAGAATAGTTAACATTTCTCAGGAATTCAACTACTGGTGCTATATTTTATACTAATATATTATCCTGTTAAATGCATTGACTATTTATTCAACAGAGAAGGACCTAGGAATCTTTTGTCACACAGTATTTCTCAGGCAATGGAACCAATCCTGTCCACAGTTTCAGTGCAATAGGGGTTGTAGGCTAGGATAGGTTGGTCTGTCTTCTGGGGCATGGGAAAAAAAATTAGTCATCTTATATGGAACTGGATATTATAACCTATTCATTAAAAATTTAATTCTGTTTAATAAACTTCTATTAGATTAATTTAAAGTCTCCCAAACTGGATTGTACCAGGCTTTGCTGTATATGTCATGTTGCAATGTACTGGCTTTTACTTGAATGTCAATGAGAAAGAATATTTCCAAAAACCACCACTGGTTTTCCACACTAGATTTTTCTTTTGCATTTTCATCCTCACACTGCTGGAGGTATCCTTATCTGAAAGGAATCTTCTTAGGCATCTATTTTCTAGGGAGCTTTATGAAAACACCATCAACAATGTCTTAAGGAGCTGTTGACAACAATAAATTGAAATTTAAGAAAAGAAATGTGTGTTTTCCTCTGTCTAGCCCACATCACTGATTTTTCTCATAGAGATACTGAGCAGCAACTGGGGTAAAAAACATGACAACTGGCCAGTTGAAGATTTGCTTTTCCCCGTGTTCTTCTTTCCCCCTTCCCTTTTTTGGCTCATGAAGTTTGGTCACAAGAGAGTGAAACTAAAAGTTGTTTTTGTTCTGAGCACTTTTCCCTTTGTAGTCTCTTTGATCTGGTGTGTCTTTTTTTTTTATGACTGCTTTAACAGGCCAGATCTTCCTTTCTTCCATAAGGTTGTATCCTGGTAGAAAATGTTCTGTTTGTATAGAACAGGAGTGCTAAAGGAAGATGCTAGGTGAGGGGAAGGAGCCCAAATCCAAAGAATTTCTACAAGGGCTTGATGTAAAGCCTGGGCTAGGTGACTACAGGGCACATTTGGCCACAAATTGTCTCTCCAATCAAATCTGTGGTGACAATTGCTATCATTGCTATTGTCGTGAGGTGCCTTCTAGTCAGCTCTGACTCACCGCAACAATGAACAAAATCCTGCCCTATCCTGTGCCATCCTCACAGACACTGGAGGGTAAGTCGATTGTTGCAGTCAATCTAGCACCTTGCGGGTCTTCCTGTCTTTCACTGACCACAGTATGACAAATTGATAGGCAAACGGCAATTGGTATTTTTGTTAGGTGCCATTGAATCGACAATGACTCCTAGCCTCCACCCCATGAATACATCTGAATAAATCTGAATCTTGCCTTATCCTTCACCATCATCAGGGTTTCTATTATGCTCAAGCCACTGTGTCCACCTAGCTAGTGGAGGGTCTTCCTCTTTTCCCCCAATGATCTCTCTTTCCCAGCATGAATGTCTTTTCCAAGGACTAGCTCCTCCTAACATGCCCAAAGTATGTGAGGTGGAGCATGTAAGAGGTACAATCCTTGTCTCTAAGAAGTACTCTGGCTGCACTTCCTCCAAGGGCAGTTCACAGTATATTGAATACTCTTTATCAAACTCACAATTCAAAGGCATCATCAATTCTTAGCAACAAAATATTTCAAGTTCTTTGCTCAACTCAGAGGCCAGGCTAAAGGATATTGCTGTGAAGCATGATGTTGAACAGGTTTCAACAGAACTTACAAAGAGAGCAGCAGGTTACAGAAGAAGCTAACATACACCATTTGAAACTAGGAAGAAAGGCCTGGCAATGGTCTTTCATTCAGTGAAAATCTTATGGAGCATTCTAACACACAGGGCATCACCATGAATCAGAATCAACTAAAGGGCAGATATTTACACCTTACTTAATATATTCTAAGATGCACTTTGCCCCATATTTTAACATTTTGTATATTGGGGTGAACTTTACAACTGATGATATCTTGAAATTGCCTTTGCACAATATAACTAAATTATATTATCTGTACATTTGCAAATTTGGTTGCCTAAGTTATCCAATGCTACTATAACAGTTAACACTTCTTCGATAATGCTCTAGCACAATCACACTCTTGGTATCAGCAGCCAGGAAATCAAAAGATGAATTGCATTGTGAAAGACTGCTGTCAGAGACCTCTCCAGAGTACTGAAGAGCAACAATGTCAGTCTGGAGATTGAGT